AATCGTTTAGGGCTTTATACGTATGCATCAAGACTTTGAAGTCAATGCAGAACCTATGTACTGTCACCTATGTACTGTCACCATGTCTAAACTATGTACTGTCACCATGTCTTATTTCCACAACTTTTCTTAGTGCTCTATATAGCAATTTGCCCTCTGATGCTATCTTCATATGTTTATGGGCACTTGTGTAGGCAGAGCTATGGAGCATTACCAGAAAGGAGAGATTCATATGTGCCTCTCCTTGTGTATACCGACCAAATAAATAGCAGATCAGATGGGAATTAGAGCAAGTGCAGAAAAAGATATATCTATAGCCCTCTCATTCCTTGTAATATCCCCTGAAAAGGTCAATAAAGGCCTCCAGCAAGCTATATTTAAGCAATTGTTGTATTCTTTATCTATTAATTCATTTTAGGAATAGCAATTATTATTTGTTTGTTTAAACAAATAATCAAAGGGAGGAAGGAATTTCTGTAATGTTTGTTTTCTTCTTCATATAAATTTTGTAAACTACAAGTTCTTTCTGTCCCAAATATGTGATTTGGGAAGCTGGATATAGTCTTCAAAATTATATTATTGCATTTCAACACATAGAGCTCTTGCTAGCATGGAGATGATTTTGTTGTATCTTTTAGTTATATATGTGCTAACGAAGAGAGATTCTGCAAGTCAGCACTTATTTAGGTGAATATAATAATAATCACGTGCTATCAAGTAAATTCAGACTTATGGTGACTCTTTTCTGGATTTTCGGGGTACAGAATACTCAGAAGTAATTTACCAGTCCCTTTTCCAAGGGGCATCCTGGGATTGTGCAGCTTATCAAAGCCACCCAGGCTGGCTTTGCTCACAGAAGGCACAGCCTCTGGCTTCCCAATCACATACTTAAACCACTGAGTTATCCAGGAATACAAAACAATAGAGCCCTGAGCCTTAGAGGGATGAATCTCTCCATTCCAATTTCTCCTTGATCTGACTTGTTTGCTTGTTTCTCAGGTTCTTTCCATTCATGGAAATTCTCGGAGGGAAAAAAATTCTCCCCTGTTCCTAATTTATTAAAAAATTTACTTGGGCAACTGCTTCAAAGAGTGTACTTCGTATAAAGCACAACAATTAGAATCCTAAAAGAAACAAATGCTCAATATTATAGATCCGGGAATAAACAACCATATAACAAAGGAAGAAAAACATCCATTATATATGTCAAAAGGCACTTGTGATACATTTGTTCTGCATCCCATTTAAATTACTGCATATACTTTTATTAGAGAGTCCAGCAGAATCAAAATATTGATGTTTAAAAGTAAAACATTTCAGCCTTTGCGTTCTTTGGGAACTCTGTTGTTTACTTCATGTTTCTAAAAAATATCAAAACATTGGTATGAATTGACATATGCTGTAACCAATGTGGAAGTTATAGAACATTCTGAAGTGTGGCGTTTGCTTTGGACAAGTGAAATTAGGTATTATCTGTTATGCCAGTGTTATCTAATGTTAAGGAACTGAGTCTGTATATTCACAATGTTTCTCTTGTTACTCATGTTCTTGGATCAGATGGCATTTCTACTGCAATAACTGACAGATCAGATAGACTTGGATTTCCTCAGATTAAGTGTTTTGCAACTGGAGGTTGCCATTTTTTCTATAAACATTGCAGGTCTGTGGTTCCTAAAACATATACATCAGTCAGTTCTTGTTTTACCTTCACACTGAACATGATATTCTGAAATTTGTGTTCAGGGATCTAAATTATATTGCATGACCTGCTGGGGATGTTCAGATATATCTATGTATATAGATTTATCGTTGACAGACAGTGCTAAACATCAGCTGAGACATTCAAAAAGATTACTTTTAAAATAATTTTTGTCTATATCTCTGTTTTATTTGAGACTAAATGCCAAATGATTATTCTACAGTGAAAAAAAATGAAATTTAAAGAAAAGCATTACGCTATGTAAAAAAAAAAGTTGTGATTCTCAGTGTGATGTAGTGGATAAAGTGATAGACTGGGGCTCTGGAGAACAGGGTTCAAATCCCCATTTGGCCATGGAAACACACTAGGGAAGTGGAACTGGTAAAACCACTACTTTAAAAATCTCAGGTACCTTGAAAACCTTACTGGAGTCGCTATAAGTTCTGACTTGGCGGCACAGACACACACTCATAAAAATTTTGGCAGGCTTCATGATTGGGATAGGAAGTGAGTTTGAAATTTCAAAACACCCTTATGATGTAAAAAGTGATATAATATACCAGATGGGCAGGATATAAATCAAATAAATAAAAAAATATATAAATTAAAAAATTGAACATATACATCAATTTCTTGATGCATTTTTGAGGAAGTGCATGCTTTTGCACAACTCCTATATACCCTGTAGAGAGCACACCATGCAGTTTGGAGCCATGATCTCTCTACACAAATATACACATCCTGGAGTGAGTAGGCTTAATGCCTGAGGTAGCTCCTTGCTGCTCCTCTGCCGCCCCCACCTCCACGGATACACAGTTCAGGGTCAAACAGGGCCATTATTTCTACTTGCTACTATTAATGCAATATAATGACGGGATAGCATGGCTATCTTGAATTGATGAAGACTATGTGCCCTTCTTCTTCCCGGTCACAGTGCTACAATTAATTAAACAATTAATGCCACCTTACATTGATGTTGCTGATCTAAAAGAGAAACTAGTGTGAATTCCCAATAATATTTCCTACTTGGAGAAAAAATACTCCCCATTGTGACTTTGTGTTGATGCTGCCTGCCTAAAAGAGACAGTAGTCATTCTGATTTCACAATGCTGTTGCCTGGCCACGAGAGATACTTGCCATTGTCAATTAATTTTGATGCTGCTTGCATGAAGAAGGGGAACAAGCCACTGGAACACTGTATGGATTCTGCCACCTTAAGGGAATAGACAGGGCCTATCCAGACTGGCCATTTTGCATATGGGGTGGATTGGATTACAAAGGGTCTGTTGAGGTTGGGGGGGGGGAGAACAGTGATGTGCCATTTGACATGATCTTCCTGTCCAAACAGCAAACAAACTCTTATAGCCCAATCAGCTGTGAATTAAGCTTTCCCCCTGATTGCCTGCAGAAGATGAGGGGAAGTTATTTTTTTACATTGCCCCTCTGTTGTTGCTGTCCTAATTTCTCCCTCCCTGCCTGCCTCTCTCCCTGATTCCCTTTCCTTGTTCTTCCACCATTTTTTCTCTCTCTCAGAATCTGTAGCCACAGTGAAGCTGAGGTTGCTGGAGGCTGCTGTCTCCTGGTTAAACTGGCTAAACAATGAGTGTGCCAAAAAGAATGAATGCACTATCCCTTGGTCAGAAAGGTGTGTGGCAGCTCTTAAAGGGGAAGGATTGATTGATTGATTGATTGATTGATTGATTGATTGATTGATTGATTGATTGATTGATTGATTGATTGAGCTTATATGCCGCCCATTTAGACATAGTCTACTCTGGGCGGCTCACAAAACACAGAATAAAAACAATAAATATGAAATAACAATTTACAACATTTATACAAAACAAAGTAGATAAAGATAGAGAAAAAGAGAAAGTTACGTAGTGCCCGGAGGGAAGTAAAAACAATAAATATGAAATAACAATTTACAACATTTACACAAAACAAAGTAGATAAAGATAGAGAAAGTTACGTAGTGCCCAGTCTTGAGTTGGTTTTTGAAAGTGCCCAGCAAGGGGACAAGACGAATCTCGGGTGGGGGGGGACAGCGTGTTCCAGAGCCTGAGAGACACTGCCAGTGTCTTGTTTTTTCTTTCCAGGTCTCCCTCGGCATTAGGCTCCTCACCTAGATGATCTAGGTGGGAGGAAGCATTCCGCCAAGTATTGAGGTCCTAAACTGTTTAGGGCTTTGTATGTGATCATTAGAACTTTGAAATCAATGCAGAATTGAATGGGCAGTCAATGCAATGTGGCCAGAGTGGGAGTGATAAATTGATGTTTCCTCATCCCACTAAGAAGTCTGGCTGCTGCATTCTGCACCATTTATAGTTCCGCATTAATTTCAAAGGTAGCCCCATGTAGAGTGCATTGCAGTGGTCTAATCTCGAGATTACAAGCGCAATGGACCAAGGTGGTGAGCGTGCCAACATCAAGAAAGGGATGCAGCTGGGCAATCCGCCAAAGATGAAAATAGGCGCTGTGGACCACTGATGCCGCCTGAGTTTCCATGGTGAGCGCCAGGTTCAGATGTATCCCCAAGCTGCGAACCTCATTCTTAGCAGTGAGAGTCACACACCCCCAAAAGAGAGGGAGTTTCCCAAACCACGTACAGACCCCAGACAGCGCCTAATGACCTCCATCTCAGCCCGTTTTCCTGCATCCATTGCAGTACAGACCCCAGACAGCGCTGAAGGGACAGAACAGAATCCTCTGTAATTGGAAAAAATGAGATGTAAAGCTGAGTGTCATCAGCATACTGATGGCACGATGCTCCACACCCCCTGATGACCCCACCCAGCGGCCTCATATAGATGTTAAACAGCATTGGGGAGAGGGTTGAGATCTGCAGAACTCCACAATTGAGGCTCCATGGGGCCAAGTCCCCCTCCCCAAGCTGGACTCTCTGAAGATGATTCTCTTAGAAGGATCAGAACGAGGCCAACGCCAGGCCACCGATGGATCATTCTAAGTAGAAGCATCTGTGGGTAAAGTTTTTTCCTTGATCCAAACCATATTATCAATGATCCATATATCATATGTATATGTCTGTGTGGACAGGCCTAGAGGCTATCCAGTCTCAATTCCATCTAAGATGTGGCTGCAGCTACTCTTGATTATGACATATTGATGCTGCCTGCCTGAGGTAAAAAAAGTGACAATTGTTACTTTTTGCTGATGCTGCCTAGATGAATGAGAGAAGCTGGCCATTGTGACTTCATGGTGGTACTGCTAGCGTGAAGGAGAGATACTGTACTGATCATTGTGAGACGGCTGGCCATTGTGAGTTCATACTTTAGAGAAATTAAGTATTTGCTCTTTTGTCTTTAGTTTATGTTTTAGTGGAAACTCCACCATGACCATTTAGAAGATGATTCTCAAGCTAGTGCACCTCCTCATCGATTTTGTCTTGTCAAGGTTAGTCACTAATGTCTGCTAATGGAATGGGTTACTGCAGCTGATGTTCAGTTAGAATCAGCAGGTTTTCCAAGGTTCTGAAAAGTTATGGCTTTTAAGGCCTGTGATTGCTTGCTGCGTTCCATCATTGTTATTGTGAGTCATGACAATAAAAGCAGACTGAGCCCTTTCATCTTTATCTTTATGCTTACTTTCACTTCCACTCTGCATGTGCTCAGATCCTTTGTCCCACTTGCCTCTGTGAAATCCATTCTGGTACGTGTCATTCAGGAAAGTTAGCTTTCCTCTTTTTGACCACTGTATTATTGACAGAGATTATCTAATTAATTGCTATAATTTAGCCTTTCTTTCTGCTTATCACTAACTAACTGACGAACGAACGAACCAACCAACCCACCCACATACCTACCTACCTACCTACCTACCTACCTACCTACCTACCTAACTAACTAACTAACTAACTAACTAACTAACTAACTAACTAACTAACTAACTAACTAATCATTCTTGTCTACAGGCTGCCTGTTTATGTGTGTGTAAGTACAGAAATCCCTTAGTATACATTCCAGAATCTTCTGCTTAGTTGCTCCTACAAATTGGTCTATGCCTCTGTCCCCAAGAAGATTGAGGGCTCAGAATTTGAACTCTGGATTTCTTAGTAGCCTCAGTAACATCCTATAAAACTTGCGAAATGCTTGACTCAGACTGGTAGACAAGAAGGTATGATAGCAGTTCTCCTTGGCAGAACTATTGTTTCCTGTGGTAAATGAATTCTTGTCTGGGCTTTTATGGGTATTTTTTGGCCTCCAGGATTTTTTTTCTCTCTATCCAAAAGAAAGAGTGACCATATCTGGATATTGTCAATCTGAAGGAGAAAAAGTATTAGCTAGTTTAAGCTGCTGGTACCTCGCTGAAGGGGACTGGTGACTGAAAAACCATGTTCAAACAACTGGACTAAGACTGCAGCTGTATAGAGATCCTCTGATTTGATTCTGAGGCCAATTTCTGAATGTTCTTAATGAATTCTAGCCAGAATTAGCTCACCAGCTTGCTACTGAAACAAAGAAACCAGGAGAAACCAAATAAGGAAGATAAACACATTCAGATTGATGACCACTCATTGAACGGCACCAACCAGCTATATCAGTCTTGTCCATTTATGTGGCTTTAGTCTGTGTGCGGGTGTGCACACAAACATTCAAGCAATAAAGACAGAAACAATTTTTAAAATGATGACATGGAGAAAGTAAATGAGACATTTGACAACAGTTAGGACCAGTGGGATGAGGGGAAAATAAAATTCACGACTTACAGTAAAACAGACAAAACTGCACGTGTAATTAATAAAATAGCAAACAAATGGTTCAGTTAAACTACTCTAATTCACAAGACAAAACTATGAGAATAGAAGTGAAATAAAGATTCAAAGCAATTAACAATCTCCATTTCTGTTCTCTGTTCAATATTGCATTAACTGATAAAAGAAGAGCTACCTGCGACAATTGACTATATCAACTTCAGTGACCTCACAAATCCCTCCTTGCAGGTGCTGTGACTGGAGAGTGGGAGAGGAATTCTCGTTACAGCAATTCGAGCTGGGAGCAAACCCAACTCTCCTCCTCCTCCTCCAAATCACACCACCAACCAGCTCATGTTCACATTATTCCTCCCTACAATCGCCCCCCCGCTAATTTTATGCATTCAAATTACCTCAATGACCGCTTTGACTAGAGATAAACCTGGCTGTTCTACTTTAATCCAGACCTAAAATATTGTTTGAAACATGGTTTTTTAGACAGGCCTTTCTGGGCGTTTAACACTCTAATACAGTACTGCTCTTAACACTTACGTTATCAGTCCTGCACCTTTGCTTTTTAAAATCATTTTACCTATTATTAGTCAAGTTCTGTTGGTGTGTCTGTTTAATTTTACAGTGGTGCCTCGCAAGACGATTTTAATTTCTTCCGCGAAAATTGTCGTCTTGTGAAAAAATCGTCTTGCGAGGTTCCCTATGCATCCGTCTCAAAAAAAAAAAAAAAAAGGTCTTGCGAAGCATCAGTCTAAAAAAAAGTCTTGTGGGCTTTTCGTCCCACGAGGCAATCGTCTAGGGAGGCACCATCGTATATCATTATGTGTTTCTTTGTTTTAACTGTTGTTCAATGATATGTTATTTAATTATGTAAATTAAGAGTGGCCTTGGCAGCCAGATGGGTGGTATAAAAGTCAAACAAACAAACAAACAAACAAACAAACAAACTGCCTTTAATTGGACTGATTTGGTTCATTCAAAATATATTTACCCTGCCTTTCTCCTTCAAAAGGACCCCAGGCAGCTTATGTCGTTAAAAGAAATTATTTAAAGTTAAATACAGCAAGTATACAAATACTAGACAGGGTAAAAACGAGACTACAAGACAGCAAACAAAACAACACTAACAACACATTTTTACCTCATTTGATGTTTTCATCCTCATTTGATGCTTTCTTTCTTTCTGTAGCAACCAGCAGTATAATAAAAATGCTACCACCCATTTTGGGATGGGGCTCAAAATTTGCTGGGGAATTACATGCCACCAGAGGATTGTAAAACACTAACATGAATATACCTGCTTGTCTCCTTTTCATGCCAGTCATCTACATAACTATAATTACATTTAGTCTGTATTTTTCATAACAAACATGTTGTTGTTAATTGATGGCAAGAACATACCAAAATCTGCAATGCAGTGGCAAAAGCTAATGGGCTAATGCCACTCATAATTATTGCTAAAAACAAATACACAGTCTGAAAGGGAGAAAGAAAGAAAAAACAGAACCGTCAGCAAACATTTATTATATTCTTTGGGAATGACAAATGTATTTATGTACGGTGGAGGAAGAAGAAAATTTCCAGAAAGGGCATTTTTATGGTGGTAATGAACTGAACTGAAAATAATAAAACTGATACTTAGAGTTGCTGACCTATTTCAGTTTTAATAGCCCTTTTGTCAATTTTAAAACTATGAAGTAGTTAAAGGAAATAGGATCTTTCAAAGAAGTATGAGTACATTCAGTCTCTTCTTGGTAAAAGTTTTAGCAGAACATTTCTTATTGCTCTTGCCTTGACTTCAGTCTGGACCACTCTGTCCTGAACAATTGAGGGAGGTGAAGAATACTTCCATATCTCATTCAGGTCAGGACAGGCTGGTGCACCTGGTTGAGAAATTGCTCACCTCTGTGAGAATTCTCATTTTCTGCAGGAGAACAAGACTAGAGTCCCATTCGGATGTTATGCCTGAATCCAGATAGATTTAAAAGGGTGGAGGAGATGTGAAAACACATGTTTACTCTCACCCAGAAGTAAGGTAGATCTGTATATGTTGTGAAAGTCTGCAGTATACATAGGCCTTTAAGCACCTTCAGGTAAATGTGCTTATAGCAATTCCGTAACAAGGAGCTATGTCACATGACACTCCTTAGCCTTACTCTGCTGTTTTACTTGAAACCATGTAGAGCTTAAATACTGATATCCTGATTAGCATGCTAACTAGGTGTGGGCTGGATAGAACAACTTTTAGGTGGATACACAGTTGGCTACAGAATTGTACTCAGAGGGTGATGATCAATGGCTCCTTCTCAAACTGGGAGAAGGTAACAAGTGGGGTACTCCAAGGATCAGTCCTGGGCCTTGGGCTCTTCAACATTTTTATTAATGACCATGATCAGGGGGTGCAGGGAATGCTAATCAAATTTGCAGATGACACAACATTGGGTGGAATAGCTAATACCCTGGAAGACAGAAACATAATTCAAAATGATCTGGATAGGCTGGAGCATTGAGCTGAAAACAACAGAATGAAATTTTAACAGGGATTAAGTGCAAAGTACTGTGCCTCAGAAAAAGAAACTAATTGCACAGTTACAAGATGGGGGATAGCTGGTTCAGCAATACTACAAGCAAGAAGGATCTTGGAGTTGTAGATCTCAAGCTGAATATGAACCAAACAGTGTGGTGTGGCAAAAAAAAGGCCTAATGGTATTTTAGGCTGCATTAACAGAAGTATAGTCTCCAAATCTCACAAGGTACTAGTTCCCCTCTACTAGGCCTCGTCTTGAGTATTGTGTCTAATTCTGAACGCCACACTTCAAGAAAGATGCTGAGAAATTGGAACTAGTTCAGAGGAGGGCAACAAGGATGATCAGGGGGCTGGAAACTAAGCCCTGTGAGGAAAGACTGAAAGAAATGGACATGTTTAGCCTTGAGAAAAGAAGACTGAAGGGTGATATGATAGCCCCTTTCAAATACTTGAAAGGCTGTCATACAGCGGAGGAGCAGGATCTGTTATCAGTAATCCCAGAGTGTAGGACATGCAACAATGAGCTCAAGTTGCAGGAAGCCAGATTTTGATTGAATATCAGGAAAAACTTCCTAACTATTAGAGCAGTATGGCAATGGAACCAATTACCTCAAGAGTGCTCCAACACTGGAGGCATTCAGGAGAAATTTAGACAACCACTTAGCAGATATCCTTTGATTTGTATTCCTGTACAGAGCAAGGGGGTAGGACCAGATGGCCTTGTAGGCTCCTTCCAACTTAATTATTCTATGATCTTATGATTCTATGGTATGTCTGAAAACTACAGTCACATTTGATGAGTAAAATGTCTGGATCTTTCTCATTGAATCAGCACTTCCCTCCTACCTGATGCTGACTAGATGGGGAAGATTTATGTGACTACAATCCCCTCAATATTGTTGCTGTATTCATGCACATGCCACAATCATCTGGGTAACACCATGGGGAAACAGCTTGTATGTAGCTCAGTGTACATGTTATGTACATTAACCTGAATTTCAATTTGTCATATTTATGAACCTTTCAGCCTCTTGAAAATCACTGGTGTTCTTGCTAGTACCTAGAATGCTAGAAAAAGCAGAATCCACATTTTCTAAATCTTGCAGCACTGTGGTGATAATTGAGTAACAGATTATATGATTTCCATGTCCAAGTTCAACATTTGACTCTCTGTGTCTTTTCCTAACAAGTCATGAAGCCAAATTAAAGATTTTTGCTAAGCAGAATACACAGTAATTAGATGGTTAATGACCTGATTGGGGGTGTCTCTAAGGACCACTTTCATTGGAATAAGTGCAGCTCTTCTTCACCAAGACTAAACTCAGAAATCACCAGGACTAGTTTAGTGTTGGCAATATTTGTGGCTATGAAAAGCTGTTGCACAAGTGGTTCTGACATTGGAAAAGTAAGCCTGTATTCACCAAAAGGTCTCATGCAGTGTTGTCCAAAAAAATGTTGGTGGCCGATTCATTCATATCCTTCAATAGCATTGCAGAATGCTCTGTTCACTTCTTCTTTTCCTTCTATTGTGTATGCAGATGCTTGCCTTGCAAAATTAGAAGCTGGATTCTAACCCAAAAACCCATTTGAAGAATCTGTCTGTCCTTTTGTTTTGGTCCCCTAAAACTCAGAGGAGTGGGGTTCTGTTTTGGTACTTATGAAGGGATCTGGGTGTGTCCATTCTTCTTCTTCGTTACCAAAAAATAGCCCCTGAAAAAGCAACTTGTAGAATGGCACTGGAGCAAGGGCGCACAAAGCATACATTTTGCCATATCTAACTCTTGACTCATATTTAGCTTGTGGTCTACAACTGCATCAACAGACTTATACACTAGTGATCCCATGAAGTATGATTTCTCCTGTGTTTGGCACTTGTTAAGCTTCATCGTGAATACTGTGTGGTATGATACCGGACACCACACCAACAAACAGGAACAAGTTCAGAAGAGGGCAATAAGGATGATCAAGGAACTGGAAACCAAGCGCTATGAAGAATGACTGCAAGAACTGGGCATGTTTATCATTGAGAAGAAAACTCCACAGTTCTATGATTCTGTTTCCTAGAGAATGCTAGGGGTGTAGAAGAGGAAACACAGAATTGCAAATTTAGTTACTAACCACATATCTCAGGTAATATCCTGTTTCTTGTTTAGCTGAAAACAATAGTGCTTATTTTGTCCATGATTTCTTTAGGATAGAATAATTCTATGCCCACACTCCTAACTTTCTTGAAGCAGGATACTGCAGAGACACTACAGAGCCACATTAAAGGAAAACCACATTAAAATATTGTCTCTTATGAGGCTTAATGAGGCTTATTAAAAAAAGATTAGTGGCTTTGGGTCAATTCATATTATTCTAATGGGGTTGCAGTCAAACGATGAATGGTGTAAGGGGCCTCCTACTGCCCAGGAGCAGACCCATTTGCTCTGCTTATAAATGAATAAAAATGAAAGGTAGAACACAGTGAGCAAGCTCCACCAACCTCCTGCTGCCTTTTAGTTAATTAATGATGCCTCATTATCGGTGGTCAGAAGTTTTTGATGCAGGCAAAACATTATCCATACACTTCAAAACTGAGCTCACATCAACCCTAATTAACAACACATACAAAGCAGCATACATTCCTTGTTGGGTTCTTTTCCATTTGCCATTTTTTACTGTGACATAACAAGCAGTAGTTTCTAACTCACTTGCAATATGCTTTCTGACCACTAACAATTCTCAGTTACAATCCTTTCACTATAGATCAGAGTCTGACCAGCTGATCAGACTATAGATCATCTGTTCAACTGATTTCACTTCATGGTTGTTGTGGGCTTTCACAAGAACAACCTTCAGAATACGGCCAAAAAGCCTGAAAAACCCACAACAACCAATAGATCCCGGCCGTGAAAGTCTTCGCGAATACATTGATTTCACTTCAGTTTATTTCCAAATAGGCTTCCGTAGGTATCTTGCCTGAATTGACTGATCACTGACAGTGTGAGGTGCAAAAAAATTCAGATCTATATTTTTTTTCAATGATCAGAGATAGAAAAGCAAATATGAAAAAGACTTACGGTGTCTAGCTAATGACTAATAAGATTTTTAAAAAATAGAATTTTGTTATTTTGAAATTGAGCAAAAGACTGTTTAACAATTATAATGTTACTAAATTGCAGCTGAAATATATGTTACTTCAGTCTTCTGAGAATAAAGCTTTAAAAATGGCATGATTTTACTCCCTCTTTTGACCTTGGGAGAAAAGAAAACAGTTGTGTTCATTTTTGAAAACCAAGTTTCTCATCCACCCTACCAAGAACTCTTCTTTTTATTTCTACTTCATTTATGCTCCCCTTTCCTTATCTTCTCGTTTTCTTTATGGATACCAATGAAGCACCCAGGGCTAAGAGAGTCAACAGTCCATTTCCTTGGGCAGGTGAGGAGCCTCTGTGTGCTGCCCAGGAGAAGAGAGGAGGACCACCATGCAACAAAGACTACTCCTAATTTACCACTCAGAAGCACTGCTTTCAAAGCTACTTTATAAACAGGAAAAGCATGGCTGAGTTTTCTCATGCAATTCATAGAATCATAGAATCATAGAAAAGTGACGTTGGAAGGGGCCTACAAGGCCATCAAGTCCAACCCCCTGCTCAATACAGGAATACAATCAAAGCATATCTGCCAGGTGATTATCTCAGTTTTTCTTGAATGCCTCCAGTGTTGGAGCATGACATGCTTGCATGTCATGCAGGGAGGCACAACCTGCAGCCCTATGTGATTTGCTGACAGTATAAAGGTTGACTTTTAAGAGTCAACTAAAAACATGGGATATGTTTGCATGTCATGCAGGGAGGCACAACCTGCAGCACTATGTGATTTGCTGATAGCACAAAGTGTCCCTATTCCCCCTTTTTCTGCCCCAGTTTTGCCACATTTTCTCTTTACGTGTCCCTATTCACCCTTTTTTGTGCCCCAGTTTTGCCACATTTTCTCTTTACACAGATCCAGAGCCCTTGGGAGCAAAGGGGACACAGACTTGCAGCAGAAATCACTGTCACAGGAATGAAGATTTCAACCAGATGTGGATCCTGTTTGAAGCATCTAAGCTTTCCTATGCTCATCTTTATGTCCACACTTCATCTGCACAATGGGAATAATTATATGGAGCAGATTCAGATTCAGAGTAGTGGTAAGAATTACTGAACTAATACAGCAAAATGACTTTGCATGTTAAACTAGCACAGATGTAGGAAAAGTTACTAAACTCACAAATGAAGGAAGAAGTGGACACACACTGGAAAACTGGCGGTTCGTGATGGTTCTTGGTTTGCGGCTACCTGTGAACCACAAACCATGAACTATTATGAATCCCTGAAAAATGAACTGGTTTGCGTTCCATTTTTTGGGGTTCAGGAAGGACCGCCTGCCTGCCCCTGTTGCCTGATGCTCAGCTGACATGTGGGCCCATGCGCACAGGCAGAAGGGCCGGCTTCTGTGCAAGGAGCTGGGCTTGCTGCCTCTCAGGATGGCAGTGGTGGTGAGGCAGTGGCTTCAAGACAAGATATGGAGGCAATAGGGGCAGTGGAAGGGGGCTGGCATTCCCTTTCGGCTGAAGCAAGATGAGGCACTGAGGCAGAAATGTTCGCCGCTTCATTTTGTTTCAACAAAGCAAGATCCATAAACTGAACCATGAACTGAACTATGAACCACGTAATTTTTTTTCTGGTTTGTGGTTTGGTTTGTGCCCATCTCTAGCTGCTATCTCTTTTTGAGCTGTTATTGCCTGCCTCATAGCTGCTGTCACTGCTGAGGGGAGGCTTTGGGAAGGTCCAAAGCAGTACTCCGACTGGAAGGAGGGAAGAGCAGCAGAAACATGCCATCAATGCAAATCCCAAGTCTTCTGAAGAAAAACACAATGTCAATGAACAGAATTTCATCTGCAGACTAATAGTGTCTGTCCCCTGTTTGCTGTTTTTCAACTTGATTCTCCAGTGCAATTTTACTCAACACATTGCTTCTGAGCTTCTAGCAGTGATGTAGCACAGTATGTGTATGAGCAATATATAGATAATGGATTTCCAGCAAACATTTGAGAAGTAACATCACCTTCTCCCTTTGCTCCCTTTTTTTCCTGGGTTAAAGAACCCTAAACTTCACACCTATCCTGATAGAGTAGCCATTGTCCGGAATAAAGAGGCAAACACAGGTTGTTGGGTTAAAAATTGGGCCACAACTTTATTAACTTTTTTAAACTAAAAAACTACAAGGGGGCCTACTGTAATGTGATATTATCTCCAAATCCTGTGTAGCCTTTACATCCAGATCATTCGATGTCCAATGTGAAAGAGGGACTCCTATTTTTAAGAGTTCCATCCCTCCACCCTCCTTGGGGGTGGCATCATCAACCTGATATGATCTCTGGACGGGAGGACAAAGCGCTCCGGCCACAGCAGCTTCGCACCTGGCAGAGTGACCATTCCCATTCCTTCATTGTATAGGTTGCCCTTTTCTACATATTCATAATAATATGTAGAAAAGGGCAATTAGTATAAGAGCAATTTGCTAATAATAGTTCTGTTTTTAATTCCTTTTTAAAATTATGCCTATCATAGAATTTTCTTTTCTTTTATATTCTTTTCTTTGGGAGAGATTGGCCTTTTTTTCTTTTTTGGGGGGAGATATTAGTACATTGTTCCCTTTCTCAGTTCCTGATTGCTAAGTATATATGTGAAGCTGAAATTCACCCTACCTCTGGTACACATCACTTTATCCATACTTATATTTACAATTTTAATGCTCCTTCCCCAAATTTCCTGAGACCTTCTTGTGGAGCTCTCCACAATCTTTCTGTGTCCTTATCAACTTAAATACTTTCATTTCATCAGAAATCTTGGCCACGTCACTACTCATCCAGGTAACTTATGAACAAACTCAAAAAACATAGACCGCTTGAGGGCTCCCTGTCCACATTTTCAAAGCATTAAAGGCATTTTTGGCCTCCTCAGGATAAGTTGTTATACTTGCTGATTCAATCAAAATCACATGCTGTCAAGCCAATCCTGACTTATGCCCAACCTTTCCAGGCTTTTCTAGATAAACAGTACACAGAAGTGATTTATCATTCATTTCTTCTGGAGGCATCCTGGAACTGTGCAGCTTGCTCAAGGTCACACAGGCTGGCTCTACCCACAGGTGCCATATTGGGGGATTGAACTCCCAACCTCTGACCCCACAGTTAAATACCTAAACCACTGAGCTACCCACATGAAATTTTTTGTTTGTTTGTTTGCATTTTGTTCTTAGCAATTCTCCAGACTCTTCTCAACCCTGAATCAATGAATGTATGAGCTCCTCAGAAATGTGAATGGCTAGTCTTATTTTCCTAACCCCTCCCAATTTTTTCAGGTCATCTTGAACTGCTGCCCAGCAAGTCCCCCCTCCCCATGGACAAACTGCTGAATACAGTGAAGCTTAATAACCTCGAGGGGAATTTTGCACAGGAAAAATACCATTTTGCAGAAACTGTACAAATTTCATGCAGATTGGTGCTTCTTTTGGGAGGGGGAAAGACGCCATGAAACATCCAAAAAAATTCACAGGATTTTGGAATAACAAAAAATAATGCCCAGAGAAATCTTTCTGCCAAGAGTGAGAAGCTGGGAGTCTAATTCTTAATGCTGATACATGTTAACATTTGCTCTTTAAATCCCTTCACTGTGTGCATATTGTAATACAAATTAAAATATTGTTTTAAAGTGCTGCTTCTGTGCACTGGGACATGTAAACATTTTTTTCTTTCACCTGACAGTTCCCCTGCAAACTTTTTATCACCTGTCAACCTCACCTAAAAATTTACTAAAAATAAGATGCACTTTGAGAGGTATGAAAAGGCTTGTGGAAACATATGGCAATCATATGAAACTCCTCCCCCTCCCCCAGTTAACAAGAGCAGAATAAGTGTCCATACCAACTGCACAATCGTAGTCTTAAACTGAAATATTTTCTTCTCTTTCCTAGGGTGAACTTTACAGGTTAATTTCCCATCAAAGATATGCATAAAATAGTGTACAAATGAAATGCAAGGTTGATATTGAGAAAATTAGGCATTTTTGTCACCATTAAAATGAGCCATCTTGAAGTTTTGGAACTGGAACCTATGTTTGTTTCCCCATTAGTCTAGCCTCCCTAGGTACAAATGGGATTGCAGCTTTAGATTTAGGACAGGGCTACACTAGCAGCAGGGAAAGAGCTAATGTGGGGTGCTTGGGAATGGTCTGGCTGGATTGGAAGATCTAATCAAGCCTGACCAGTCACTCTGAAATGTCTCCTGACAATAATGTGAAGTGACTTAATAAGCCACTTCAGGATAATAGCAAATTAATTCCTCCCCCTACTCAGCAGAGGGCAGATGTTAAAAAAGAGCCCCCCCCGTATATAAACCACTGCTGATGCACTGCATCAGTTATAAATATATTAAAACATCTTTTCTTTGTCTTCTCTTATAGGAGTGGTGGAGAAACTGCTTGCAGCTGAAGATGTGACTGCTAACGGTTTCTTGACTCTTCACAGCAAGGAAAATAAAATATTGTTTTTGTTAAAAAATAAAACTGCTGTAGTGCTTCAGCAATAGTCTATATACATTTTTTTTTAAAAAAGGTTTTTTACTTCCCTTTCCCTCTGCTGAGCAGGGGAAGGGATTAATTTGCCAATATCTTGAAGTGGCTTGCTTATTACGCTACTTCACAATACTGGCAAATGGAAACAGGAGGGCCTGCTTTGGACCCAATCCAAAGCAAAGCAATCCTACCTGCACCAGAAGAGTAGAAGGCCCTAGACAGGTGTGGGTAGGAATGCTCTTGAGGTGGGCTAGTGTGATCTAGCAAAGACACTGTCTGATTGCCGTCCTTAAGAGGAACCATTTCTGCGGTGCTACTGACAGTGGGCTAAAATAGCCTATGCAGTCAGCCTCTTGATTAACCACCCTAGTCCCCAAGGAATATTAATTTATACTGCAAAATGCATCAGGTATTTGGAATAAATTCATCCTGATCTATCTTGTGCTTTTTTAATACTCCCACTTCATGTTTTTCCATAAAAGAGCTCCTTTAAAAAAAAGTCATTTTGGCAGGATCTGTTCCTTTCCTAGCATTCAGCACACATTTATTTTTCATTTACCAGAAAAGGTTTCTCTTTGCTATTCAAATTAAGAGTAGAATACAGTAGACTCATGGCCATTCATAAAAGTGTTTAAGTATGCTGACTTTTAGATGCCTGAACATACAGCAATTTTGGCTAAGGCAAAATACTGTGAGCCTCAGAGTTTAGCACTGATTACATAGAGCTGACATTGTGTTTTTTCTCTCCCCAGACTTAAGTAAGCATTTCTAATGTCCCATTATAGAAATGGCTTCCATTTATTCACCCTACTTAATAAATCAAGCAGGTTCCACCCCGTTTTACAATTTTATAAAACGTTAGAACTACGTTGCCAGGTTAGAACAATGTATTCGAAAAGCCAAACAATGACCAGCAAAATGCTGCTGGATCTCAGAAGAAAGGGAGAGTTTCATCCTGCTTAACAAACAGTAAAGCATACCACTTCAAATTTACTTAATTGTCTATCCATCAAAAGCAGGGAGAGTTTTTTTGTTGTTGTTGGTGGTGTTTTTTTGTTGTTTTTTGTGGGGTTTGTTTTTGTTTGTTTTGCTAAACATTCATGTGTATTAAAAGCATAGCTTCATTCCATACTGGAAGAAGTCTTATATACTGTCCCAATTTATTCTGAGTGGCTGTCCGAAATTGAGGGGTAGGATTGTTTCATTACTATTTGCTTTTTTCTGAATTTCCTTTAAAATATTCTCTTTTTACTGGTTTCTATATAACATAGTATTGGGCACTTTGTACAGTCTGCTTTGCTTTTCAGAGGGTAGCTGGCTGATATACAATGTGAAGTAAGCATAAGTATAGTGATTTCACTTTGTATATAGGTATAGATGGTTACATCTAGAATAATAGAATCAAGGCTGAACATGCTCAATTCCTTCAGTCTTTCCTCATAGGGGTTGGTTTCCAGTTCCCTGATTATCCTTGTTGCCCTCTTTTGAACTTGCTCTAGTTCATTAGCATCCTTCTTAAAATGTGATGTCTGAAACCGAACACAGTGCACAAGATGCGGCCTACCCAATGCTGGAAAGAGGAGAACCAGTATTTCATGTGATCTGGAAACTATACTTCTGTCAATGCAGCCTAAAATAGCAAATACTGTACCTTTTTTGTAATCACGTCACACTTTTTACTCATATTCAGCTTGCGATCTACAACAATTCCAAGATCTTTCTCACACACAGTATTACTAAGCCAAATATTGCCAATCTTGTAACGGTGCATTTGGTTTATTTTTCTTAGGTGTAGAACCTTGCACTTATCCCTGTTCAATTTCATGGTGGCTGGGTTCCGACTGGCAGTTGTAAGCTGGATAATGTGCTGGAAGAAAAAAACAACAGTCATCTGTGAAAACAGTTGGGATACGGATTGGAATGTGTGTGAATGAAACTGTGTGCTGATTGGCTGGCATACTGTCTGGCTATGTCAGGGGTTTCCAACTTGGGGGTCATGACCCCCAAATGGTTTGCAAAGTATTTTCTGGAGGAATTGCCAACAGGTTACTCTATGGCAGAAGCCTGAGTAGGAATGGCTAGCACGCCTCTGGAAAGGAGAAACAGGGAGGATTCAAAGTGGGGAAAGGTGAAAGGATAGCAGTGAGACCCTATGGGATGGAGATGGACCAGAGAAGGAATGGAGAGGGGAGGCTGAGGATGAAATAAACTGAAAGGAGAAGATACCTCATTGGAGAAAGAGCCAACTGAAGTATCCTGTGTCAGGGTATAGGAGAATAGGACCAGGGAAAATGTGGGAGGGAGCTGGAGTGATTGTAATTGCTGAATGAAAAGAGAAAGGGGTGCCCTGCCTTGTGCAAGAGAAGGAGAGAAGGGTGGGGGAGATGTAATCGAGTGAAACTGAGTGAGAGGGGAAGGCAGAGATGGAAAGGAGAACCCAAGCATCAAGGGAAAATATGTCAAAAGATTTCTGGTGGTGGGCAGACAGAGAGCTTGTGTGTCTGCTCTGGCCAAGCCACAGCTCCTGCTTTTCGAAAGGAAAGTTGTGGGGCAGTGGAGAATGAAAAAGGGAGGGTGGGAGATTGAGAGAGAGAGAGAGAAGAGCGGGCAGGAAGGAGGGATGAGGGTTGCTACTGCTACACTTGCTGCTGCTTCTTGGCCTTTCCTGGCTCTTCTTGTGGAAAGGATCTAGTGGTGTTAACTGGGAGCCTCCCTTGTGTTTCTCCTTGTCTCTGTTCCCTCCTTCCCTTCTCCCGCAAGCCCACCCCTTCTGTTTCCTGTGGTGCTTGGTGGGGGTGTTGGGCTTGAGAGGTGAATGTAGGAAGAGAGGAAGCTGAGCAGGTGGGTGGGTTGTGAGGGCAAGGAGGGAGGGAGGGAGTCCAGGCAAGAAAAGAACATGGAGGAGTGGGACAGAGAACACCTTGTGTGCATGTTTGTTTGTGTGTGAGGGGGCACCCAAGAGAATGAGAGTGTGTGGGAGTGAGGGAGAAAAGGCATGTGTGAGCAAGTGTAAAGACCGAGCAAGGATGGCAGTGCAGGCCTAGCTCTGACCTAAAGCACAGGGGCAGGGGCACAACTTCCTGCACTGGGCAATTCAGGCAAAAAAAAGGAGGGGAAAAAGGGAGGAGCAGGGGAAGGCTTCATAAACTGATGAAAAAGGCACAAACAAAACATGATTGAAGAAAGGGATGTGCCATCAGTGGGGGCATTGTGAGCTCATGACTCATTGTCTGTCTCCCTCCCTCCACAGCTCCGTATGCTACACTGAGCCGTCAAGAAGGATGAGAAGGTGCCTCAGAGAGAGTAGAACGGGGAGCATTCCTTTAGATGCGTATGTCCTCTAAGCTGGACAAATGTGTGTCCCCTTGTACCTCCTGGGATCTCTAGGGTGGGGAGGACTCACTCTCCCTCATGGCCTGCCTCAAACCTCCCACCAGAACAGAAGGGAGGGAGACAGGCATCCTCCGATGGGACAGCGTAATGTCTGGCGGGAAGAGCCAATAGGCAGCTTTGCACCAAGACTGTTCTGCCACAACTTACTAGTTTGGACCTCTCCACTTGTATAGTTTTACCCAAAATGCATACTCATGATATGAAAATAAAATAGGGATAGTAATTTGTACGGATTTGCAGAAGCCTGAGTGTGTTTCTCTGTTGCAGCCAAAAAAAAAGGGGTACCACATCATCTCAACAATTCTTGCTTAGCACAAGACTTTGTGGTCTCTTGTCATCACATGCCAGCAAGTTGCTTGGGACTTATGATGAACTTTTGAATGAGTGCCACTTGTGAGTGGGTGCATGGGGGGGTCACGGAGGAGCTGGACATTTTTAGAGTAAACCAGCCAAGGACTTATGGTTTCTTCTGTACTCTTT